AGTTTAGTAATCAGAATTAAAACTTGGTAACCATGAACTTAGGACTGGTGCTTTTTTGGGTCATTCAGTGTTCCTGTAAAAATAAAACAAACAATAATACTGATAAGATATTATTATTACTATTATTATTATTATTATAATATGAATTCTACTAATAAGAACAATATAAAAACGCACTAAGGATTAATGAGCTACTGGATTCATGAATATTAATCAGGTTGTGTGCGTTTGCTCGAACTGATTCACTGAAATCAAAACCGGGACGATAATAGGTGAGCACCAGCCAATGAGATTGTCGTTTGCGCATTAGTTCCGCCTACTACAGGAAAACCCGGCAGTTCTTAAAAGCTAAAGAATTCCAAAGGAACTCTGTTGTATTTTCCTGTAAAAATAACAAAGTATATCGTTTACATGTAGCGCATCAATGCTGCATGTTATGTAAGGCTCTCGCTCTTTGCGCGTGTGAGAAAGCGTCAGCTAGTCGTGCACCTTCCCACTAGATTTTAAGTTACGCCAAATACACAAACACAGGGGCGCTGCGCATCCATTCAAATGAACTGGAAAATATCACTGATCGCTTGACGGAGAGTGAAAATCTGAAGCGCTCAGTCAGAGTGTTCTGTGAGTGAAAATATATCTGAGCTAATCATATACTCAGCCTCCAACTCACACACTGGCGATTAAAATCTGAGAATTTATTAGCCATCGGTTAATATTGGACATAATTGAGTGAAGATTTAGTCGCATATGCGAGTGATTTACTCGCAATATAGGAATGATCTTGGAGAGAGCTTTACCGAACTGACTGCTTTAACCGAACGCGACCAGGCTGAACGAAGGCTGAACGAATGACTGACAGCCACAGCGGAGAAAAGAGTTTGTGTGAACTTTAATGTAAGGACTTAAATATTCATATGTAGCTCACATTAAGCTATCGTATGTTCTCAGAAGTAACACAGAATAATTCACACAATTGGAAAAAATAATTATCGGATTTGGATCGGCTCTCTCTGACCGATACCCGATCCAAGAAAAATGGCAGTATCGGAGCCGATACCCGATATGAATATCGGATCGGCTCATTCCTAATCTGTACTGCCTGGCTTAAATCTGTGTATTCCTGCACACAATCATGCACTGTTAAAAAGGTGTTAAATTAAAACGGTGTTCCCTACTGTGCTAAATAGAAATGGGACCAGATGTCTCCTTGGAAACACACTCATACTGTCTCCATAGTGATGGGGGTTGTTCTTGTGGTGTCGTCTGCTGCTCATCTTAGGAACCACACTCAGTCTTGGTTTTGATGCCAGGAGATACATTTTATTACATCATCAATGAGAATAAAATGGAGATGCTCTCTGCAGCGAAACATCTCCAGAATGATCATCTTGTCGTCTTTTTATGCAATTCTGGATTTGGAGGCGTGGGGTATATATTCCATACAGTTTTCCATACATAGAATGGTTTCTTTGTGCATACAATTCTCCCTAGAGAGAAGGCCCACCCCCACTCTCTAGTCTTGTTATGGTGAAGAAAGAAAGCTCCCACCTATGTTTTTCCAGATGTTTCTAATCTTAGGACCTGTCTACTTTAGCCACGTAGGCATTTTCCACACAGGCATATGTGATTATAATGGAAGTATAACTGGATATTTAAATGGCTATATTGCTAATGATTACACTCGAACAATTCATATTTTAACCAATAA